TTTCTTTTCTCTGTCACACGATACAAAAACTACTTACGACTGTAAAATTGAAATTCATAAAAGGAAAATTAACAAATATGCTATTCAACAATTTAAAGAATCACTATCGGCAATAAACTGGGATAAAGTATACTAAGAATGTAACCTTGGACGCACCAACTCTGCTTACACTAATTTTGAAAACATTTTCTTAAAAAACTATAATAAATACTTCCCAATAAAAGTAATGCTAGTATAAGAAAAACATCTAAAATGTCCGTGGATCACCAAAGGAATTAAAAAATCTTCAAAAAAACAACAAAAACTTTATATCAAATACTTAAAAAATAGAAATGAAGCAAACCTAAATGCTTACAAACAATATAAAAATTTGTTTGAAAAAATCAAAAAGATTTCAAAAAAGAATTATTACTCAAATAAAATAAAAAACTCCAAAGGTGATATTAAAAAAAACGTGGGACGTAATTAAAGAAATAATTGGGAACAAAAATTGCAAACCAAATAGTTTACCTACTAAAGTTGTTATAAATAATGAAGAGTATGTCAATAGTGACGTAATCTCAGAAAAGTTAATCAATTTTTTGTTAACATAGGCCCTAACCTGGCTACAAAAATTAATTGTCCAAACAACTCATTTGAGACATACTTAACTAATAACAATGACGAATTAGCATTTACCGAACTAAAAATTGAAGAACTTGAAGTTGCGATAAAATCTCTTAAAAAAAATAAATCTCCAGGTATAGATGATATTTGTAGCAATATCGTTATCGATGTCTTTTTGGAGATACGCAAACCAATCTTCGAAATATTTAAATCATCAATTAAAACAGGTACTGTACCAGATAAATTGAAAACAGCTAAAATTATACCAATTTTTAAAACAGGCGAAACATCTTTATTAAATAATTACAGACCGATCTCTATACTGCCTACTTTCTCTAAAATACTTGAAAGAATAGTTTACAATAGATTATACGAATATCTCCTTCAAAATAACCTCTTAAACAAAAAACAATTCGGGTTTCAAACAAAACACTCAACCGAACATGCCATTTTAGATCTTGTAAATAGCATGAGTAATTCTTTCGATAAAAAGCAATTTGTATTAGGGACTTTTATAGATTTATCTAAAGCGTTCGACACAGTTAATCACAATATCTTACTTAAAAAAATGGAAAAATATGGTGTTAAAAATATATCCCTTGACTGGTTCAAAAGTTACCTGAGTAGCAGAAAATAATGCGTTGTTACAGATCATAATAAATATTCAGACCTACTAGAAATAAAATGCGGAGTTCCCGAAGGTTCCATTCTGGGTCCCCTTTCATTTCTAATATATATCAACGATCTTCCAAAAGCCCTAAAAAAAAACTTGATGTAATAATGTTCGCTGATGATACAAACTTATTTTACTCATCGCCGCCTATAAGCGACCTTTACGAATCTATGAACACTGACCTCGAAAACCTCAACATCTGGTTTAAAGTTAATAAATTATCTTTGAATACAGAAAAAACAAAATATATCTTGTTTCACTCCAACCGTCTTAAAAACTTTATACCAGACACTCTACCTTCACTAAATATTGATAACATAAACATCAAAAGAACTGAAATAACTAAGTTTCTTGGAATAATTATTGACCAGAATATTAATTGGAAAGCCCATATTAATACAATAAACACAAAAATATTAAAAAGTATCGGCGTACTCTACAAAGCCAAACCTATGCTTTCCCAAGACAACTTAAAAATTCTCTTCTTTTCTTATATTCAAAGTTACCTAACATACGCTAATATTGCATGGGGAAGTACCCATAAAACTAAATTAAATTCACTCTACATACATCAGAAACATGCATCAAGATTAATTTATAATAAAGATAAATTCACTCATGCCGACACTTTACTTAAAAATTTGAATGCATTAAATATCTATCAAATAAATATTTACCAAAATATCTTATTCATGTTAAAATACTAACTCGGACTTGTTCCGAAATACTTTACTGATAGCTTTTTTCATATCAACGCAAACAAATATATCACACGAGGAACAAGCAACTTCACCCTGCCTTTAAAAAAAATAAAATTCTCGCGATTTTCTTTAATATACCGTGGCTCATACTTACATAACAAAATAATACTTCAAAATATGAAACTTAATAAAATGGATAACCTTATTGCTCTGAAAAAAAACTAAAACATATCATAATTAACTTAACTTCATCAACTTCATCAAAATGTATTAAACAATTTGTGAAAAATAGTAATAATAAAAAGCCCTACTACTTCTACTATATAGTAGATACCAAAATACTTATGTGTATTTGTTGAACTAGTTCATTAAAGTTTATTTTATGTTTTAAAGGTTCTCGATGAAAAGACTATTTTAGTCTTCTGCGAGTTTCCTTACAACAAAGAAAAATATTTTTTAAGAATAATTTTATATATATATATTCAACAACGTCCACAAGCAAGTCCCAAGTAGCCCTGTGGTACGACGGACTTGCATATATTTTTTAAATGCGTGGGTTAATAGCCAGCACTTTATATTAATAACAACGAATAGTTACCTTATTTTGTACACTGTACAACGCGCATGCGCTAAACAGAATTTTGTCTTGTAAAAATTTTAATGGTACAAAAATTGTTTAATTGTACGTTTTGTACTTATATGTAAAAATATGTAATTTTGTTTTATTAAAATATATACGGATATGTAAATTTTGTTATTATTATTTCATTCGCCCCACCAATTACTCAACTTCTGAAAATCATATTTTTTTTTTCCATTTTTTTTATTTACCCGTACAAATATAGCAATGACGAGAAGAAGAGAGGTTTGCTATATCACTAAGTCCCTTGTATTTTTCTAGAGATTTATATAAATACGTAACTAAAATTAAAAATGGGAGAAAAAAACAAAATGTTTCAATAAAGTTTATATAAGAAACAAAATAGTTTCATAGAGTCTTTCAAAGTTATTTTTCATAAAAGTTAAGAAAGTAATTTAATCACAACAACATGAGTGTTAACCTCATGCACTGCTATATATATTCAAATTTCAAAGTTAATCAATAAAAGAAAATATTCAAAATTCATTCAAGAAAACAAAAACCAAATAAACCATAAAATTTATGCAGATATTATTTGAGATGAACAAACTATAAACAGAAATAAAATTCTAGAAATTAACATTAACTCTCAAATATGGTATGAGCTCAAATATTTTTGATAAAGTCAGATAAACCAGCAACAAAATCCATTAAATATTTTTCTACTTAATTAGAAAGTATTTAGAGATCATGTACAACTTGTTTCCAAGGTTTCTTATATTGTTTATGGTAAGGAAGCATGTCATAACATATTGCGAATAAAATTCTAAGCAGAAAGCATCAAAATAGTTTTATGTTTAAACAGTTTTTTGTGTCTAAATGAATTTACGTTAAAATAACTTACATAATGAATTTCTGAATAATTCTATTAATTATTTAATATTTAAAATTCATTATTTTGAAAAGTTTATTTATGAAATTTTTTCTTATTTTTTTTTCCAATAACAAATATACAAAACTTGTAGATTTTTTATATTTAAATCAACTCAATTTTCTATAGGTTTTTGAAACAAATGATCTTAGAATTCCAACTACAAAAAGTCGAATACTGTATAGAATTACAATAGTCTAAAGAAACCTCTATTTCTATAGACTATTTTTTTTCACCTATAGAAAATAATATTGATTACTTTTAAATATTATAAAAAAGCTATACAAATTTTGTTATGGGGTAAAAAATTAATGATAATTTCATTTTTTTACTTTTAAATTATAATTTTAACAGTTTAAATAGTTTTACTTCTCGTGTCTCTCATTTGCAAAAAATTCCGAAGCAACAAAATATTCCGAAGCAACAAAATATTCCGAAGCAACAAAATATTCCGAAGCAACAAAATATTCCGAAGCAACAAAATATTCTTTACCAGAATTAGAACAGTCCAAGTTCAAAGCCATGAGAAAACTTGATTTAAAACCTTTAGTTTATTAACTGTGATGCTTTTGAAACTCAAAAACACTTTTTTTTTTGACAACCTTTTACGTTTTAAGAATGTTATTGATCCGGACAATAAATTTCTAAAAATAAATTTATAACACAGATATCAACAAAATTTGATGCGGAAAAGTTTTATAACATTGAATTAAAGAACACTTTACGACTCTAAATTTACGGCTGTAAAAACTCCTAGAGTAAAACCTCCTCCGGTAGCATTTTACGCCAGTAAAAAGTTTTATAACATCATCCAAAGGTATCACTTCTATTGACTATGTTAAGAGCGAAAAGTATTTTATATAGTATATCACGTGTTGTCAAAAAGCAAAACCACGTTATTATTTTTTATGAAAACAACAGCAATGAATAAAATGCTTATCTTGGTGTTCTTATTGATTTACTAAAAACTCACCATGAACAATGGTAAGCATTAGTATATTCATCAAATAAATATGAGTTTACTAATGTTGTCAACTCTGTAAGTTTCATTTCACAAGAAGGCTCAAAGAAATAACAACAATTAAATAAATACACAACTGATAATTATAACTAATTCATGGAATATAATTATTAACAAAATTTATCAATAAAAGATCAAAATTTAATCCATTTTAAATTGAAACAATGCTACTTTGTTTTACGCAAAAAAAAGTTCGTTATTTTTTGAATTTTATTAATTCAAACCATAAAACAATAAAAATACACATTTTTTGAATTTAAATTACAGAAAGATATTTAGTATTGTTAAAATATTTAACATTTTTACTGTTTTGCTTTTATTCAAAAAGCAAATATTATCATGCATCATGACGAATCAACTTTAACTTCACTGCTAACATCTTAGAAATCTAGTGAAATATCCATATTACCAAGGTGCTCATATTTACCCAAATCTACCCTCCTAATGTAAATGTACAAAATTTTTTTCCTTAAGAGAGATAAAAGCAATTTTAATTAGCTATATTAATTTGACAATGATATAATACAATTTACCAATGTATAAAAAAAAGAACAATATAGGTTTTATTTAATTATAATTTTTCATATAATAATGCTTTAACTTATTTAAGGCTCTTCAAAGAATCGTTTTGTCTTCTCAATTTCTGATACCACGAAGGAAGTTGAGCATTTGTCTAAAAAAAACAAAAAAAAGATAATAGCACTTAAATATTCAAAAAATTAATGGTACCAATAAAAATCATCGATATTATTTAAAAATAATAATAACTCAACCAGAGCCATCCCGAAGAGGTCTCTCACGGGAAAGGGGTTGGGGGTTGGTGGGGGATGGGTTGAGGTGTCGTATGCGTCTTTTGCCAACTAGAGACACTAAAAAAAAAGTCCTGGATAATTGACATTTGCCAACTATCCTGATGGGAAAAAGATAATTAGATTACACAAGACGTATTTAAAACGTCTAAAACACGTATTACTACGTAATTTATTTGTCTTGAACGCTTCTTTTACCCATAGGTAGCGACTAGCTAGCTAGTCGATAGTTCATTTCCAATGAACAATCTTTAATATTTCGAGGGATTAAAAATACAACAGCACATCCCAAAATCAATTTTTGTTGATTATAAAAGCAATATTTGTGCATGAGAGACGTATTTTTACTAAAACTAATGTAAAGTCAGTATAGAAATCTCGGTCTAATCACTTTTTCGCCATAACCAATATTTATGAAAATATGACCGGTATGCCATCATAGGCGCTATGCCATCATTTCCCCAATTATTAAAAAAAACAAAAAAACAAACAAAAAAAAAACAAGAAAATTAAAACATACAAATAAAATTGGTTTAACTAATCTAATGTTAAGATCATCGTTTTTTTGCGATTTGTAGAGATCATTATTCTTTTGGGATTCATAAAGAGATGAAACAGTATTCATCGTCTCATTGGTGTTTGATTTGAGTTTAATGATAATTTCTTTCATCATCGTCATTTCCTTTAACCATGAAAAAAAAAAATTTAATATATTACGGACGTTTTGAAGTAAAAATTAAATATCTTGCTTATTATAACTAATTTTGAAAAAATAAAAACACTAAAATATGTGCAGCGACAAGACGAATCGAACGATGTAAAAAAAAAATATTATTTTAATTTTAAATTTCACTAAACTTAAGTTTTTAAAAAACTTGTTTTTATCCGGAATTAGGGTACTATTAATCTAATTCCGGATGGATACAAAATAGAAAAAACACACATATAAACTCATTAAATCAATTAACCAGTTCTTTGGCTTGTTTTAGACTCGCTTTCAATAATTTTTTTGTATCTTTTTTTTTTGAGACCAGCATCAATTTTATTTTGTTCTCTAGTTTTTTGGCAGCTTGTTTGTCTAGTTTTTGTTTTTTCGATTCTTGTTCGGCTTCGTCAAAAGCTATAGCCTCGGCTGAGGTCATATTTAATTGGCTAACCGTTTAATTCTTTTGCCTTTCTCTTTTCTATTATATAAAGGTGTAAGTTGATCTTTGAGCAACATTAATACTGATTGGCTGATATCTTTTCTGGCTTTTTTAACTGTTTCATCGTATCTAAACTTCTAAGTAACACTTCTCGGTTTGACATTCTACTTAATGGTGTTTTAGAAGTGTTGGTTACAGGCTGAAATAAACTATTAATGTTCTCATTTTCAACACTTCAAAAATCAAGCCTATTGCAGTTTTTTCAGAAGAAATTTTTGATCGATTAAGTGGAAATAAACCACTACTGGTAAACCCACTACGGGCATTTTTTAGGTTTAAAATAATTTTTTTCGATAAGATCCTTGAACATGGAAGGAAATTGTCTATTTTTTAACAATTGAAATTTATTTCTAGTTAAAAAACTGTCTATTGTTCGCTTCCATTCGCTTTTAACTGTTTTAAAGACACCTACGTCTAAAGGCTGTAAAAAATGGCTCGTATGAGCAGGCAAGCGCCAAAGTATAATGTTATTTTCTAAGGCTACTTTTCTTAATTCTAATCTAATATGTGAAGCATGACCATCAAGAAAAAGCAGTTTAAAACCATCAAGTCTATGTGTATGAGGCAAAAAAACTGATTTGAACCACTCAAGAAATTGTTTTAACTCCATCCAACCTAATTCGCTATTATTATAATAAACATTTTCAGCGCCACCTATGCACCAGCTTTTCAGAATATTTTTTCCTTTGTAAATTACTTGATGTGGCAAATAATTTCCAAATCACAACATGTCAAAAAAGTTGTCATTTTCTTGTCGTTTGTTGAGGCAAATCTTTTTGGATTTCTGGTACCTTTTCTGCATACGATTTTAACTTTGCCTAGGTCGAATTGTAATCCTGACTCTCACAATTAAAAATATGAAATGGCTTATTGTTGAGAGCGCTCAAGATAAATGGCGGCATTAGTAGTATTATTCACATTGCTAGTAAATAAATAATAATTACTTAACTATTATTATTATTGTTGCTACTATTAGTAAGTAAATCCGGAATTAAACTAACACATTTTACATACACACAATTAAGCGTGAATAAATAATAGTTACCTGCATCCGGAAAAAGGTATCTTTTTTTTTTGTGCTTGTTTTTGTCTTATTTTGAATATATTTAAAGAAATATTAACATTATTGCAAATTTTTTTGCATAATATTAATCAGCGTCAAATTTGGAACAAAATAGTGTTTATACAATTTTCAGTTTTATTTGCAAAACTAAGTTATTTTTTTTGGCATTTTTTTGTTAATTTTCTTATATTTCAAGTTGAAAGCTAACGCGATTGTGAATATATTTTTGAATTGTTTTTTATTGTTCGATTTGTCTTGTGTTTAAGTTTATTTATCAAAAAAAAAATAGTAATTATAAATGCGATATAATATAAACGATACATAGCTTTTTATAAAACCATCCGTAATTAGATATCATCCGTAATTAATTTTACGGTAATTTAAAAAAAAAAAACATACTTCTCTTTGATTTAAAAGTCTCTCAAGATCAGCTGACATTTGATTGTTGCAGGTAATGTATTTTTCATTGTCTAACTTTAATTTTCTAAATAATAAGGAATATTTTTGAATAAACAAATAAAAAAAGTCAAGAAATAAATTAGGAAACTCAACTATATACTTACACACACATACATGCACGCATATATACATATATTAATATATTCATACATTGATTTTGTTAAATATCTCAACTTTAAATTTTTTTGGATTACAGATTTCATTAGTGACAATTCCAATTTTGCCATTATTTCTATTTCGAGAATGGCGGCCAATAGGGAAGAAAAATTTTTAATAAATTGAATTACTTACATAATAATAGCTCTGCTAAATCGCTTTTTTTCACAAAGATTTTAAATGAACAAATAGAAAATGTTTTACAGCATATTTAGCTTCAAATTTACTTGTTGCAACAGAAATATTCAAATTTACTTGTTGCAACAGAAATATTCAAATTTACTTGTTGTAACAGAAATATTCAAATTTACTTATTGCAACAGAAATATTCAAATTTACTTGTTGCAACAGAAATATTCAAATTTACTTGTTGCAACAGAAATATTCAAATTTACTTGTTGCAACAGAAATATTCAAATTTACTTGTTGCAACAGAAATATTAAAAGTAATGTGAACAATAGTATTTCAGATATTTTCACATTGTCCATGACAACGAAATGTCTAGTATATTTCAAGTCATACTGGACAAACACTTGGCACAATCGAATTTGGAAATGCCATTGTCAGTTTTTTCACTAAACCTTAACTTGACAAGAGATTTTCATATTGGTTCCCAATTGTCACTAGATAATTTCTTCTAACCCAACTTATTAGGTAATACTTCCAATGTTTTACCCAAGATGCGTTCTATTTGAAACAAAGTTCTTTTGATATTTTGCAAAAGAGCTGCTTGTATTAGCGGCAAATCTTCAATAGATTTTATTTTTATAGTAAACAGATGTTTTTTTGCAACAGATAAGTGCTACTTTGATCATACATAAGATTTGTGAATCTTTCTAATAATTTTCCTAAAACCAACTCTTCTATGATGGATACTGGTAAATGAGAGAATTTGAAAAGCATAAATAACGTTTCCAAAATTTACCTACATATTTCATACATATTTCGTTACTTTAGCATTAAAAGGAGAAACAACATCAAAACAAAAATATGCATAAAATACTAATAGATATCTGGATTTTAAGTGGTCTGAGATAATGATAATTGCAATCTCATGAGCTGGTATCTTCAACTTAAAAAGAAACCAAGAGCAAACTTTAATGTGGTACTAGATTAGTAGCTCACAAACCATGAGGTTCAATGTTCAAATTTATCCTACACCTCTGGAAGTACTAAGTTCAACCTGTTTTTCTTGTTTAAAAAAAAAAAAACTCATTCATTTTTCAAAAGAACAAGCTCTTGCAGTTTATCTCTTTCTCTTTTGGTTAAAGGTCTTAATCAAAATTAAATTACTTGTTATTTTGCTTTGACATGTTGGTTGAAAGTTCAGAAATATTATCATCAAATAAGAACCTTGCTTAATGCTAATTTTTTTGCCAAAATGTAGAATCGAAATCACAATCATAAATAGATTGGGGATTAAATAACACAGATATGATCAAAGATTTGTTTGACTTAAAAGACGAACAGCTACCAAATCCGATGGCATTATTTATTCTGTGAAAAAAGTTAAAATTTTTTTAGTTAAAATTCAAGTTAAAATAATTCTTTACTACAAAACCTGTAACATGGGCAAAAAAAAAAGACATTTAGTTAAGCCTTTTGTAGTATTTACTGCAAATGGTTATATTATTGATGTTAATGGACTGCTACAACTATTAATGACGCAACTATATTTAAAAAATAAAAAGTGATTTAAGAGAACTATTTCAATTGTTAGTTTTATATATTTCAGAGATACCATTGATGAATTGAAAACTGAAGAATAAAAATGAAGATATAACTAGATATTCGTATTTACAAATATGTCAACTTGCTCAAAAAATTAATTTACTAGTTTTCAAGCTAACCATACTAGGTTTGTTACATAATGCAGATGGGTTGTTGAGGCTGTTAATGGTAAATCAATCATCAAAAATAAACAATCTTGATTCTTTGGAAAAAATAAGGAATACAATGCTTCCTCATATAATGACTGATGTTAGAATAGCTTCTTTGATCAACTGTTTTCATTTAAAAATTTAAAGATAAAATTAATTTTAAAAATGAATTGAAATCACACATTTTGAATACAAAAGGCAAAAGTAAAAAGCAATTTGAACCAATTGATGCATTAGATATAAATGATTTCCCAAAGGTTTCTATGGAGGGCATTCAAAAATACATCACATTTCAAAGCTATCAGATAAAGCAACATTTAAATAGGAAAATATATTGTTTTGATTGGTAAAAACTTTCAACAAATTCAAAACTATGAATTGATTTCTGCTGAAGTTCAGTCAAGACATTCAAACGCTACTAAGTATATGCTATTTATTAAATATTTGCTAAACATTGATAGTCCAGAATCAGTATTGTTTAGGGCATGTGGTTGTTTTTCTGGTTTAGAAACGTATAATTGTTGTAGTCACATTGCTAGCATCTTTTTTTTTTGTGTGTTGTGGAAAGTATTTGGAAAAACTGAGTCTACTGCAAATCTTTTTATATCATCCATTTTGTTTATTTGTTGAGGTGTTTCAAGAAGATGAAAATAAACTAAATATAAATGATATCCCATTATCATTTATAATTGATAAACTTTATTTCAATTTTATATGTTGCACAATATTTAATAATGATTCAAACCACTATAGATCAATATTTTTATAAAATTGTGATTTTTATTTGGTAGATGATTTAAGCAATTCAATCATGAAAAAACTACCAAAAGTGTATGATATAAAAACTATTTTTTACTATTTAGCTTAAATATATAAAATTATAAAGATTTTTCTTGTTTTTAAAGTCATTTCAATAAATTTAAAGTAAAAAAAATATACGTATATATATTTATTTATGCTTACACCAATATTTTAAAAATTATCAGATAGCTAGGAAGCCAAGCTGATCAGACTTAGATTTTTTAATAGATAATACATAAGACACTAACAATACGTTGGTGTAAAAATCTAAATAATATTGGCTTGGAGTGGATATGGGCCAAAAGACATCAAAATAGGACATACTCCTTTAATAACCATAAGTATTTAGATCTCAATAATATAAAGCATATCATAAAAAAATAACTCCAAAGCGATCTATTGATAGAGAAATTAAAGCAATTTGTCGTTCAAAAAAGCTATATGAACTTTTACATGAAACTTGTACATAATTAAAGACAAAAAAACCTATTGAAAAAAGGACTTTTCACAATTGTCAGGCCAATTTTATCAGTTGAAAGATAGATATTTTAATTTTATAAGGTAGATGTTGACAAAAAATCTAGGTATATTCAAATAGAAAAATCTGCTCCTGTGGTCTGAAAAGTACACCATACATTACTCATAAAACTTTGAGTGCAGATTTTAGCCTGATTTGGCTGCATTCCATTACTCCAAGAAGTCTCTAGAATGGTATGAAAAAAATATCGTTTATTTAGTACCTAAGGAATCCTCTAAATTGTCCTGAGCAGCGAGTTATTAAAAGTTATTAGTCAATTGTAAAAAAAATCTTGCTGAAAAGCAAGATTCTTATAAATAGTTTCATATAAACATTTAAAAAAATGGATGAGTCAAAGCAAGATCCAGATGATGTTAACTAGTTGCAAAAATATACTCCAATAAAATATGTAAAAAATAAATAAATAAATAGTTCAAACAACTTATTGTGTCAAAAAATTACAATAATTTGTGAAGTATTTTTCAAGTAATTAACAATTAAAAGGTGTTAAATTTCATTGTGTTCAATAGATAATTCCAAAAATGTATAATCTTTTTCTGCATCATTGATTATATTAAAGTTATAACATTTTTAACGCCAACTGTCAACTGAGCGCAAAGTTTGCGCTCGAGACCAAAGTAATTTGATTTGAAAACAACTTAGACTACTATAAATACTTATCTAATATTCTTTTGTGCTGACAGTAAGTTCTATTTTTTTCATAATGGCTACTAGAGGATGTTGCACAGATAGCAAGTGCAAAACATTTTGAAATACCTATGGGTGGTCAGAAGAAAACTATGACATCTAATGTGATATATGGAACCTGCCAAACTATTCTAGCAGAATGGTTACAAAGTAAGAAAGGGAATGTCTTTTGTTTTTCCAAGAGTATGGAGAACCATAACAATGACTGAAAATTTAGTAAATTTGATAATGTGAAATATGAAAATGCTAAAGTGATTTAAGCGCTTCAATAGTCAGACATACCATCATCAACAGCATTTGTCCTACATGATGATAACCTCAACCATATACATAAACACCATAACATAAAAGTAATCTTCTCACAGTACTCTTCAAAAGCCTTGCATTCAATTTAACTAAAATGAAGTAATTACTACTTACTTCTTTTTTTAAATAGAGTTTTGAACGCTGTTATTTATGTCTATGTTAAGATTGCTGTATATTGTTTTATAATTTTTTTACCAAAAAAAAAAAAGCATTGAATAAATAATTACTTTCGCTAACAAAGAGATAAGACGTGTTTTTATCTCGGCTTATATTGCTATAATACTAAAACCTATAAATAAATATTTATGTGGCAAAAAAAAAAATGCTGCTCAGTTTATACAAAAAAGATTAGAAGTGGTGAAAATTTGGTTTCATTGTTTTGGTTAGACATTGTTTCAAAATAATATAAATTTTATTAAAATTACATTTTTTCTGTTTGTTTTTTGGTGGTGAAAAAAATTAAAAAAAGTTATTTTTTAAGTGGAAACTTAAAAATAAGTTGACAAAAATTTCTATTATTGAAATTAAAACTTTTTATTTACATCAGAGTTAGCACCGTTAAAATCATTTGCATTGTTAAGATCATATAGTTTTGACAACAATGGAAAAATTAAAATGAAATAAAACTTTAAAAACTATTGATCTAACCATAATAGTGCGTGCACAACAAAACCATAATAGTGCGTGCACAAAAAAACAATAATAGTGTGTGCACAACAAAACCATAATAGTGCATGCACAACAAAACCATAATAGTGCGTGCACAACAAAACAATATTGAAAAATTATTTATAAGAATTAAGGCATTTAAGGCAAAAACAACTTGGACAAATGTTGTTGTTTGTGGGAAAAAAAGTGAAACACAACTAATCTATCTAAACGCATCAATTATCAAACAAAATGAAAGATACAAAAAAGAAGCTAATATAATAATACTTGGTGTAACTGAATCTGATGCAACAACCAAATTGGAAAAACAAGCTAATGATTTTAAAGTCGTTGGAGAGATATTTAATAAGATCGGAAAACCATGTTCACCAGTCCTTGTAAGAAGATTTTAAAAAATTGTTAGTCTAAAACCTGCTCCAATTTTAGTATGCTTCAAGGACAAAACACAAAGAAATGTTGTATATGTAAAAACTGTAAATGCTGCAGAAAATGAATTATACTCATATATAAATTTAAATCTATTCATTAATCCAGATAAAACACTAGCCAAAAGTGCCTTTGATTACGCTTTGAGAATGAAAAAAAAAACTGAAAAATAACACTACAAAATACAGATAACTTTGCTTATGGGATTTGGAGGCAGCAGATTGTCAAAATTAACAAGTGACAGTAAGAAATACCTAAAAATGTTGTAAAGCAACCTTATTGAATTAAAAACTTTATGAGCTATTTGTATTAGCTCAGTTTAATAAAATAGATGTTTTAATGGTAACCGAAATGTGGTTTAGTGCCTACTCAGTATCAAACCTGAAAATATTTTTAGAAAGGACAGAATTTACCGACAAGGTGGTGGAGTATTTATGTATGAAAAGATCTCATAACTTTTGAAATTAACACTATTGAATTATGCTATAGAGATATTGAATAAAATGGTGCAGACTCGAATATGGGTTTGAAAAGTGTGTCTACAGGTCTCCAAACTTTGCCAATAATTCAAACCTTAATAAATTGATTTTGGTTGCAAAATGTAATTACGATAAAGTGCTTTAACAGGTTTTTTGTTGGTTGGTGATTTCAATTTTTCAAATATAAAATGGATTGATGATAGCTACATTATTTCATGTTCAGATCAATATGGTTTTGAATTTTATTTTACAGAAACTATACATGACATCACAAAATTCTTTCTAACATTTCAAAAGTATTACAAGGAATCTACCATCATACTTGATTTTATATTTGCATAAAACTCAAATCGTGTTTCTGAACTTGCATCAAACCCTCCTTTAGGTAAGATTGCTCATGCACACATGATTCAGACATGGAACTATTTCGTGAATACAAATAACATAACTAAAATTTTTTTTTAAGTTTTACATATAAAAAAGGCAATTATGTCAAAATGGTACAATATTTTAATTCAATTAATTGGAAAGCAATACAATGAGTGTTAAGATTAAAAAAACTTTTAGAAGTAAATATGATGGCCGCAAATAAATTTATCTAACGATCAAAAAAATAAAAATGGCCACAACAAAAGTGGATTACAGCTGATATAAAGAATTATTTAAGAAAAAAAAACAATTACGGTCAAAGTTTATTGCATCAGGTAGAATTAATCATGAATTGTTTACAAAGTACTTATTAAAACTAAGACTCCTAATTCAGTTGATATGGCCTTGAAACAATTTGAATATGAGTTAGCTAAAAGTTCTAAATCTGATCCTAAGAAATTTAATGCATACGTGAACAGCAAATAAAAATATAAGGAAGGAATTCACACATTAAGGTTTCCAAATGGTAGATATTTCTAATTTGTTTAAAATTACAAATTAGATATTTCTAATTTGTTGAACATCTTTTTTCAATCTGTATTTACTCAAGAAGATAACAAAGCCAAAATTTGATTACTTGATTTGAATATGGTTACTCAAGTTTACTGTGAAAACATTATAAATAAAGTAAAACAATTAGCTTAAAATAAATTATTTTACAAAAATTATTGGATAAACACAGCCTGTGGGAACAATGGAGTCCATCTCTATGTATCAAGTAACTGCTCTGAAAATTGATCAGAAGAGGTACTAAAACCGTGGAAAGATTCAAACATAGTTTCAATTTTTAAAAATGGCGATAACCTTGATCTTTTTAACTATAGACCTATTTCATCTATAATAAAAAAACAATCATTCGGCATCTTTGAGATAATATTTTGATAAATAAGAATCAGCATGGTTTTTTACCAAGTAAACCTTGCATCAAAAATTTAATTAAAAGCCAAGAAATTTTAACTCTGGCACAAGGCTATCCTAACTCCAGGCTTTGCAATCGCGCAATCTAGCCAAAATACTGGAGGATGGTTTTTTAGTGTGAATTTTGAAAGTGAATATCCTAGTAAAAATTAGCTATAAGCACTTTGCCTCTGAAGTGTTGTGTCACTGCATACTCATCTATCTATGAGAAAAATAATACAAACTGAAAATGTTAATTTAATAAAAATTAATGGTAAGAAACAGCCGAATATTTCCCTAAAAGTATTTTCTAACATTAATGTAAGTGAAATTTCTACGTATACAACACTTTTATCTCAAATACTCAATAGGATGAACTTAGCAATTTTAATGAAGCTCAAAATTTAAAATTTGCTTATAAAAAAAAAAGCTTGAAACTTAAAATTTAAAATAAAAACAACTTAAAATTTAGTGACACTGGAATAAAGGCTGAAAGTGAAAAACTACCCATTTTAAGTTATTAATGTAATAATGACATTTTCTCATAATCAAAAGACTTTATTCAAAGCACAGGATTGCCACAGTATGGAGCTTTCTAATTGACAATCTATTGATAATAGGTATTTATTATGTTAACATAAAATATATATATATATATATATATATATATATATATATATATATATATATATATATATATATATATATCATTTTTATATATTAATTATATGCACATCTTTTAGATTTCTACTTCAAATCAAAAGTGATTCAACATATAAAGCATTTAATATGGGTTCACAGTGCTATATACCTTGCCTTTCACAAAACGGGATAAAAGTAATAGACAAGTTGTCTGTTTTATCTGAGCAGTTTGTTTTTAAACAACATTGAAATTACTAAAAAAATAGAAGTTTTACAAGAAGAGTCATTTTCGATAAGTGCTACCACTGTTAGAGAACCTTTGTACTCACCAACAAATATTATTGTTTGAGCCTTTGAGTATATGACTGCATCCTGAGCATTATATAAGCGTTTGAGAATTGACTTTCGACTACCTAGTGTATGATCTTTGAAAAAATTTTCCTCAAAATCAAGTTAATTTAATACTGTACTGTTAATTTCCAAAATATATCACAGTTTCGAAGACAGGCAGCATTTATGCTTTTTATTGGTTGGTAAAGTGTGGGTTAAAGCAACTGATACATATGGTGGAAAAATCTACAGTCATGCTCAGGATGACCCAGAAAAACTTGCAGGAAACCTTATTTTTCTTATTCAAAATGCAAGAACACATTACATAGAAGCTTTATTATTTGTTTGTTTTTTAACGGTTTTTTATATTACTTGAATAACAAGGGTATACATTAGATTTTTTATACAAAAGATTTATTAGAATCAATCAAATCTTTATCAACATATAATTTTATAAAGAAAAGTTTTATTATTATAACTAAAAAAAAAAAAGCATTGATACATATAATTTTATAAAGAAAAGTTTTATTATTATATCTAAAAAAAAAAGCATTGATACATTGATAATTTTATAAAGAAAATGCTATTATATGAGATCAAAAAAAAAAAGAGAAACGAAAACCACTTTCAGAATAAATTACTAACACATTAAAAAGAAAAACAATGATAGTATTTTAATCAAGTAATGATAGTAGTTGTAGTAAAAAAAAAGAAAAAGAAATTCAAACTATAATTTATTAAAATGTAATTGAAGCTATTTGAAAATCAGAAAAAAATCTTGTACATTCATAAAGAAAATCCATCATGGAGCTAGAAACGATTCTCAAAAGCTAATGGAATTCTTATATCTACTGTAGCTATAAAACGAAAATAAAAATAAGAGTTATAAAACAATATAAGTATCCATCAAATAAACTGAAGGATCAGGACGAAAATTTTAACAAAAAACCAGTGGTGAACAAGTCGTTGTTTTTTTAAAAGAAATCCAGGCTTATCTCACAGATAAAGAGCTAAAAAATACATTTTTATGTAATGAAAGTCAAAAAAAAAACTGCAACTACAAGCCTTTCCAACCAATGAAATACTCAAATCGTTCTGAAAAAAAAAATCCACTACCAAAACGCAAGCTCGAAAACTTTAAAACAATGTTTTGACAAAATTAAATGGCTGCATTTTAATGGACAATCAGACTTACATATAATGTGACTTTTGTCAACTTCACCAATGAAAACCTATATAACCTATTATAACACACCAAAAGCACTTGTTTAGATTTCATGTAAGTAGCCAAATATTAATTTAAAGCAGGCATTTTGAATTCTAAAATGGTAATCTCATAAAGTGTTTAGAGGTTAAATATCTATTGAAGTTTAATTTTAAGTTCAAAGGTATTATATTTTTTTTAACTCCCATAGACATAAACTCCCCAACCTTTTCTTATAATAATTTAAAACGTATAAGTTTACCTGATATCATTTTCTAAATTCGAAATAGTTTCTTTTAAAAGTTGATTTTGAGCATCTCGAGTCCGAATACTTTCTATAAGATAGTTGTACGGTTGTTGTGCTTCATTCAGAAGAGAATTAGATTGTTTCAGCTAAATCAATTTTCATAAAAAAACAAAAGTTCTTATTTAAATTTTTTTTTTTTAATTATTTGAAAAAACAAAATTTTTGAAAAGACTAAAACATTAAACTTAAAAACTTTTCACTGAAAAAATCTTTACAAATGTAAATAATCTTTTCTAACAACTTGCCAAACCCTTTACCCTAAATCCTTTACCTCTTCAGTCATTTGCTTACACTTTGTGGATTCTCTTTCAACTTCGCTGCGTAGAGAAGTATTTGCTCTTTCAAGTTGCAGAACTCGTCTAGCTAATTGCACGCTAATGGAAAATATAATTTCAGTAAAAAAAATTGTTATGTGAATGAGTCAACTAAATAAGGTCAAACCTTTGTTGCATTCTTCGCTTAGCTGTGCTTGGAATATTGGCTCCATACCCATATGCAAACAATACTTTTTCCCCTTCAACTTCATTTGTCACTGTATACAAAAACATAAATGATTAGAACTATTAAAAATAGTTCTAATGATTTATATATATAAAATAGTATATAAAAATAATACATAAATAATAGCTTTGTTTTTATTTTGAATTTTTATCAAAACTTTAAAATTAAATGTAAAGAAAATACCAAATTAATGACAATTACAATGATAATTAAGAAAGATAATTATGTTATTCAGATTATTAGATTTTATTTAGCAAAACAATTAAATTTTACATTTTTTTTTTTCAACACAAAAAAGCCAAAAAAAAAAAAAAAAAAGAGCTGAACTACAAAAAAAGCAGAAAGTTTATAAAAGATTAATGCTACAAAAAAACATTTACAAAAAAAATAAAACATGAGAAAGTTACATTCAGCAGCTTGCATAACAACATCATCCAATTCTTGTTCTAATTTTTCATATATTGTAAGCTTAGATTTGAATTCTTGGTTTTTAGCTTCCAATTCAGAGATTTGTTTGTCTGAATATGCTTTCAGGGCATAATATTCCTTACTCAAAGTCTATACATAAAGCTTCATTATTAAAACCCATAAACAGATAAAATTATTTCTTTAAGATTAAAAAAATGTTTTCTAAAAATATTACATTAGTATAAAAAATACAATTCAAATTAAAAATTTATTTTTAATTTCTAAAGAAGCAATGTAGATTATATTTCTTATCGAGTTTTTATTATTTTTAAAGATTTACAAAGAACTTTAATTTGGTACTGTTAAAAAAGATTGATTTAAAAAAAAAAAAATTTAGTTTTGAAAAAGCAAGACTATACATATTGCAAAGCGAGACTATACATATAACTAAAAAAAAAAAGATTTTTTAATATGACATTTTTGATTTTGTCACTGCATGGCCAACTAGGGCCAACATGGCCAACTGTCTAGGTTGACAGTAATTGTAACAACTATGTAATTTTTACTTATTAAAAAATTTGTACTAACTTAAGTTAATATATCAATATATGAAATTATGCACATAAACACAAGGAAAAGCAAGACGCTGTGTAGAGAAACAAATTCAATGCAGTACTACCAGAGACATGGTGCAGACTGAATTCAAAATCTGTTGCCTACAAAGCAATTGTTTTAACACTACACATTACCCTACCTAACTTACCGCAATTAATTAACAACTACCCAACTTTTTTTTTTTTAATTCTGATTCACTTTCAACAAGGCTGAAAGCAACCACTATTAAGTTGGGAGATACTAGAAGAAGAAAAAAAGGAGTTATAGAGCAAAGAAACAGTTGACAGAAGACTTATAAAGTTTTAGGTTGTGTGAGTCAGGAAAACATGAAGATAGGTGAGAGTTCCAAAGGGTTGAAATGTGGGGTAAGAAACTAGACGAATAAAAGTTTTTAGAGCATTAAGGGACAGCTACAGTAAAAGAATGAGACTTTGCTAAATGACAAGTAAAAATGAATGATCAAATAAAACAGTTGATGGAACTAGAGATGATAGCTTCATTGAGCATGACCAGTATTTGTAGAAAAGAGAAAGAGACCCAACTTTACAACCATGGGAAAGACACTCAAGCAGATGTCTAGAAGTCTAGAAGATGATTTGTCTAGAAGAGAAAGAGCATCATTAGAAGAACCAATTTAAATATGAGAGCAGCATTCCATACAGGGACAAATAAGAGATTTGTAGATAGTTGTAGTAAAGATTTTTGTTGGAGTTAAAACTTACAAGTCACTGTGAGCCCCAATCTGTTACAGAAATGAGATCAAATTCAAGATCAGCTGCCTGTTCTAAGCAGTTGAAAAGACTTTTTATCAAGGCAGGAGTATAAAGTTGAGTCATCAGCAAAAGAGCTACTTTCGATATAAGGTTGTCAGGAAGATCATTTGGGTAGATAAGAAACAAAACAGGACAAAGGACAGAACCTTGAGGTACCTTCTAGAATACCTCAAGGTTCTGTCCTTAGTCCTGTTTTAATAAAGCGGTTAGAAAGAAACGGTTTGATAATCTCAAATCGTTTCTTTTACTACAATTAATTAACAACTTACCACAATTAATTAATCTTACTTAACTAATTAACTAACTAAATTAACTAATTAACTTAACAAAACTAACTTACTAAAATTAACTTAACAAAACTAACTTACTAAAATTAACTTAACTAAACTAACTAATTAACTAACTTAACTAATTAACTAACTTAGAACAATTAATTAACAACTACCTATTTATAACTTACAACAAATAGTTAACAACTACCTAACTACTCTAATTAACTAACTTAATGCGGTAGTGGTGTAGTGGTAGAGCACTCGCTTCATAAACGAGTGGTTCCGAGTTCGATCCCCACCACGTCCCTGGTAGTACAGCGCTCAACTCGTTTCTCCGCGCAGCGGCCTTGTTTGTCAAGGTTCATGTTTCGGAGTTATAGAGTTGAGAGAGGGTTATAGCCACAAATAAGTAGCCTCCTCGTCTGTAGTTCTGTAGTGGCCTTCTCGGCCTTGAGGAGATGTATTAAAAAAAAAAAATTAAAAAAAAAAAAATTAATTAAAAACTACATAACTTATTACAATTAATTAACAGATACCTAACTCACTACAACTAATTAATAACTACCTTACCACAATTAATTAACAACTACCTAACCTACTATAATTAGTTAACTGCCTAACTTATCACAATTACTTATCACACACTGAAATTATAAATTTTCTCTTGTTCAACAGCTAATAACCTGTAATAACAGAAAGATTCTTTAGTGAATGAAAGCAGTGAAGCCATTTGCTCTTTAAAATCTTTTATAAATCTCTAAAAACTTTTATATCCCGTATCTGAAAAAATTTCCAAAATTATTGAACTTTTTTAATTTTTTTATCAATTATATTTTTATTTTTATATTTTAATCAAAGTAATAAAGCTGCTCTTAATAGACAACACCTTACATCATTTCCAGTGAGCTCTGGGGTACCACAATCTTAGATTTTATGTTGTGTCTTATCAATATTGATAATCTTTAATATTGATAAGGATGGTAATCTTACCTCTAAAGTAGGATGGTAGAGTAGAATGTTACTCTTAACATGGTAGGATGGTAATCTTACCTCTAAAGTAGGATGGTAGAGTAGGATGGTACTCTTACCATGGTAGAATGATTATCTTACCTCTAAAGTAGGATGGTAGAGTAGGATGGTATAAAAGAGAGTAGAATGGTACTCAACTTATAACTTACTCAAAGAATACCTTTATACTCTCATTTTTAAAAAAGTATCTAAAAAAAATTATATTATTTTTTATACAATATAAATTATAGTAAAAACTGTAAAAATGAAAAATGTGTGCATGGTCTTTTATTAAAAGTTTGATGTGAATTACAAACATCAGTTAAAACATACATACTTTTTCCCTTTCGTTTTCTTTTTTTTCTAGTAAAAAAAAAAGTAACTCCCTAGTAACTCCCAACTTAATAGAAGTTGCTTGTTGTTGGGTGTGAATTGAAATAAAAAAACAAAAAGTTATTTTATCTAGATATAGATTTTATGTAGATTCGAAAAATCAATTAAAAAAACTACAATTTTAAAATTTTTGGATTTAAAAAAAATTCTAAAATTAAAAAGTTATTGTTAAAAATTTGGAAAAAATTATTGATTTTTGAAATTATTGAATTAGTAGAATAATCAGATTTTTTAATTTTTATTAAAAAACATTTTTGAACATAATTTTATTGCAAATTTTCATTCTATAAAAATTTCCTGAAATCAAAAATTTCTGATTAAATTTTAGGTATCAGTTTTAGAAATTTGAGTTTGGTTCTAAAACTGAACAAAAACAAAATAAAAATTGTAGGAAATAAAAAAATATAATTCTCATTTAATAAATAAACTTTAAAATAAATTTTTTCTTAGTTTTTTTTTCTACCTCTACTTTTTTAGATAGTGTTTCATTTTGGAGAGACATCTGTTTACAATTTTTCATGGCTTCTTCATGGAGCAATTGTATCCGATCTAACTCAAAAGATTTCATTTGAGATTCATTTTCTTTCTCACTTACTTTGCTACTAGTACTGATTTGGAGCAATCGAAACCTGTTTAAAAACAAAACAAAGTTGCTAAAAACCAAAAACTTAAAACCCAAGCAAAATAAACATATTTAATTAAAAAAACAAACATAAAAAAATAGCTTGATGTTTATTCTAACTGTAATGAAAATCAACATACTAACAAAACATTCATCAAAAGTTTTAATTCACTCATCTTCTTAAAACATGGAAAATAGTAAACCATTAAAAACAAGATAAAAAATTGCAATTAAACATTATTAAATATGCAATTAAAGTTGAAATTAGAATAATAAAAACAATAATTTTTACTACCTTTTAAAAGTAATTTCATGATATTTTAGATATAAAAAAAGAAAAAAGTGTATATAAAAACATTATTACTATTTTATGAAAGATGATTATATTATAACTGTTAATTAACTATATTAGAAAGACGAGACTGTTAATTAACTATATTAGAGACGAACATAATTTTAGTTGATGTCTAATAAAAGTTCTTATTTGTGGCGTGAATACTTGCATAAATTGTTTTTTAGTTTAATTAGACATTTTAATAAGAATTAAACTATAATATTTTTTATAAATCTACACTATTCAATTAAAATACTTAATAACATTTCTAAACAATTTAGCTAATGAATTAAAAAAAAAACTAGATAGATGAAATATTATATAGCATGAAAAAACAGTTGAAAAGAGTGCAGAAAGAAAAAAGAGCAGTTTTGAGTAGGAGACAAACAAAAAACCAAAAGAAAGGCAATTGAATAAATTTGAAAATTGAAAATTGAAGCAAAAAAAAGAATGGTCAGAGAAACCTGATTTTATGACAAATAGGTGAATTGATAATAATATATGCCTAGGGCAAGCAAGTAACTATTTGGGAATTGCATTTGCAAATCAAAAAATAATATTCATCAACACTAAGATGCAGAAAAAAAAATTTAAATTAGTCTTGCAAAGAGTAGGGCGGTTGTATTTTGCAAAAAGATTCGAATGAAAAATTACTTAAGAGAAAACAAATGTTTGTGAAACATTTTGGTGGTATTTGATCATTGTTTTTATTTTTAAGTACTTTTTCCATACTTTTAACAACTAGAAAACTTGAGTCAAAGTTTAAGCAATCCAGTTGTAATAAAGATCAATCCAGAGTTGTAGTAAAGATCAACCCAGAGTTATAGTAAAGATCAACCAAGAGTTGTAATAAAGATCAACCCAGAGTTGCAATAAATATCAACCCAGAGTTGTAATAAAGATTTTGTGACTTAATCCTTATATCAAAAGCAAAAACAGGCACACTTCCTATGTGCAATATGGAATTGTTAATACTCTGATATTTTACAGCTGTAATTGGAATCAGCCTCTCTGAGAACTAACACAGAATTTTGGTAATCCTTACTATCAGATAGCATCAAAAATATTAAACTGAGTTTTAGAGCTGTACCCTCCACAAAAAAACACTCAAACATTTTTATCTGTGTCAGGTTATAAGATGAAAAAATGATGTAAGGCTGGTCAACAGAGATTTTCTGTTTACTTCTAATGTCGTTGCATAGGAGGCCTTCTAAAAGACTGGATGAATTAAACATCTGTCAAGACGAGTATTTTTAATGAGACACCATCACATTTACATTACTTAACAAAGAGCCTAAATGCAGAGGGTATTTAAATTTTAAACAAAAAAACTAAAAAAAAACACTGTAGACACTAATAATATTGTGAAGTCTCCCAAAAAAAAAAGTAAAAGATGATTATTTGTGTTGTTTGCTTGCTTTGAAAATTCTGTAAAAATGGTATCAAACTTTAGTTATTTATAATTACTAAGTTATTTATATTTATAATTATTTGCTTTATATTAATAATTATTAAGTTTAAAAATAAAATAATAAAGCCATAATATAACTATATCAAATTTTTTAAATAAAATATCATCATACTTGCAAACAAAAGAATATTTTTTTTTGTACTAATTAATCCACTGTTGTGTTTTCTATTTTTTGTTATTGAACTATTTGTTTCATATATGTGTCTATTTTCTTGTATCTTTAGATTAGTACAATTATTGTTAAATAAAGCCTTAATCAAGAGGTCAATCTTTTTATTAGTTCGTTACAATTTATTTAACAAACATAAAATTATTGGGAAATGTCTTAAAGATCTTAAAACCGACGAGGCTTGATCTTGATCATAATGCACTAACTGCTTCAAAAGAATGGAAGCATTGGAAACGAACATTTGAAAATTTCATTGAGGATTGTGGAGAGGATGCTCCAGACAAATTTCGCTCCATCATTAATTTTGTTTCATCAAATGTTTATGATTACATTGAAGAGTGTGATTCCTATGAAAGTGTAAGTAAAACCTTAGAAAACTTATATATAAAAACCCCTAATGAAATTTTTGCAAGGCATCAATTACTTATAAGACATCAAACATCGAGTGAATCCTTAGAAGACTTACTTCAGGAACTACGTAAACGAAGTAAACACTGTAATTACAAGGATGTTTAAGCTGAACAATATCGAGAGGAACAAATAAGAGATGTTTTTATTTCTGGAATAAATTCGAATTACATTCGTCAACGACTTCTTGAAAATTCAACATTGAATTTGCAATCAGCATTTAACCAAGGTTGTTCTCTTGACATTGCACAAAGAAACTCAGATTCTTATATGCAGAAAACATCCTCCTTTTCCTCCAATTTAAATATTGTTGCCACTATAAAATAACCAGAAGAACCCTCAACAGCACTCAATGCTATGACTATTAATCCTCAAACAAAATGCATTTATTGTGGTAATCCATCTCACAACCAATGTAATCAAACCTCTGCTAGGAAAAATTGTCCAGCTCAAAATGTAACCTGTTTTAAATGTAGAAAAAAAAGTCATTTTTCCAAAGTTTGTCTTGGCAGAACGATGAATATAACCCACAGTGTTTCAGCTGCAATACATAAACCAAGTTTGTGTACTGTTTCAAGTGGTTGTCCGTTGAGAATCTCTCATGCAGCTGTTATTGTCAGAATTAATGATGAACCGTTAACTGCACTAATCGATTCCTGTAGCTCAGATAATTTTATAAGCAAGAAAAATTATTGAGACATTAAAAATTAAAACGTTACCCAGTAAAAAGAAAATTTTGATGGCCCTTACAACAATGGAGTCTGGATTAGTGGGCTGTTGTTCGGTTAATCTTGAAGTAAATGGTTTATTTTATAATAATGTTCAATTTGGTGTCTTAGAAAATCTTTGTAGTGATATCATACTTGGTTACGACTTCTAAAAACTAAACAAAAATTTAATATTCCCACTCTGTGGAGAAAAAGAAGACTTAATTGTCAAAAAGGAAAGTAACCTATGTGCACTGCAAATGGCAAAAATAAAATATCATCCTTGTTTACAAGCATTTCAGACAAAACTCAGCCAATAGCTACAAAATCAAGAAGATATAATAATGATGATTGAAACTTTATTGAAAGTGAAATATTAGTTATTATCGGATGGTATAATTGAGCCATGTTTCTCACCATGGAGAGCCCAGGTAGTGGTTGTAAAGGATCTTATTAAATCTAACAAAAAAGACTTTGTATTGATTACTCTCAAACAGTTAACCTTTACACTGAAATAGATGCATATCCTCTTCCCAGAATAGATGATATGATAAATGGACTTGCAAAGTACAAAGTATTCTCTACATTTGACTTGAAAAGTGCAGTGTATACAGCATTTGAGGCAAATGGGAAACTATTTTAATTTTGCAGGATTCCATTTGGAGTTACTAATGGTGTGTCTTTGTTCCAAAGGTCTATGGACAAGTTTGTTGAAGAAGAAAAGTTACATGACACTTTTCCATATCTTGACAATATAACCATTGGTGGTTATGATCAGGCACATCATGATAAAAATTGTCTGCAGTTTCAAGACGCTTCACAACGTTGAGGTCTAACTTTAAATGAATCAAAATGGGTTATTTCAGCTTCTTCTATAAACATTCTTGGTTATTGCGTTAGTCATAACAACATAAAACCAGATTCTGAGCGATTACGTCCTTTAGACTTACTACCTCCTCCTTCTAACATTTTATCACTTCGGCGAACTTTGGGTATGTTTTCTTACTATTCAAAGTGGATACCTTTGTTTGCGAATAAAGTTCGGCCTTTAATTAATGTTAAATCCTTTCTTATCAATAGTGAGGCACTTGAAGCATTTCAATTTCTTAAAAGAGAACTTCATGCTGCCACTTTGAGTTCTATTGATGAGAGCTTACCTTTTGTTGTTGAATGTGATGCATCAGATGTAGCCGTATCAGCTACCTTGAATCAAAATGGTCCTCCCGTTGCCTTTATGTCTCGAACATTAGGCAAAAGTGAAATCAATTACCCATCAGTAGAAAAAGAAGCTGTGGCTATTATTGAAGCTGTTTGAAAATGGCGACATTTACTGTTACGGAATCAATTTAAATTAATTACTGATCAGCGTTCTGTAGCTTTTATGTTAGATAACCGAAAGAAAACAAAGATTAAAAATAGTAAGATTCAGTGCTGGAGGATGGAGTTAGCAGAGTTTAGTTATACTATATTGTGTCATCCTGGAAGCGATAATATCGTCCCTGATGCACTCACACGTGCTTTTTGTGCTACAACCCAATCTCAAACAAACCTAAGTGGTATACATAGCTGTCTATGTCACCCAGGGGTTACTCGAATGCTTCACTTTGTTAAATCTAAAAATTTACCTTTTTCTACAGAAGAGGTCAAGAGAGTTTGTTCTAACTGCCAGATTTGTTCAGAATTAAAACCAAAGTTTTATCGATCCTCAAATGTCTGTGAGTTAATCAAGTCAATACTTCGAATGGATCGCCTAAGTATAGATTTTAAAGGACCATTACCATCTAATTCTAGAAATAAATATCTGTTTACAGTCATTGATGAATATTCTCGGTATCCATTTGCTTTCCCATGTCCTGATATTAGTTCAACAACTGTTGTGAAGTGTTTAGATCAAATATTCTCCTTTTGTGGTTTTCCAACGTACATTCATTCCGACAGAGGCTCATCTTTCATATCTAATGAATTAAAATCTTACCTTACTCAGAAAGGTATTGCAACAAGTAATTCTACCCCATATCATCCTATCAGTAATGGACTAGTTGAGAGATATAATGGCTTGATCTGAAAAAATATTTGTTTGACACTAAAAACCCACAACCTAGATGTTAGAAATTGGGAAATTGTTCTATCAGACGCTCTCTACTCACTCCGCTCGCTACTTTCAACTGCAACTAATTGTACACCTCATGAGAGGTTATTCAGTATTCCTAGGCGCTCATCATCTGGAACTTCGTTACCCTCATGGTTAACTCCTGGCCGAATTTTTCTAAGACGTTTTGTGCGTACAAACAAAAACAATAATCTCGTGGATAAGGTTGAATTAGTGGATGTAAATCCAACATATGGTAATATTCGTTACCCTGATGGACGAGAGCCAACTGTTTCACTTCAAGATCTTGCACCGTATCCTGCCCCAAAAGAAAAGTTTAATGATATCAATGAGAATAGTATGAATGAGTTTAGTGAGAATGTAACTGCGAAAGTACTTGATGTAAATAAAGACCCCTCACCTGAAATTGTATCGGAAATCAGAGTTAGGGTGGATGAGCCAGTAACTGAGCCATTTGCTGATGTATTACGACGTTCTGCCAGAGCTTGTAAAGCTCCTGTAAAATATGATGACTATATTTTAAAATGACAAAACTAGTTTATGGGCCTTTTTCTGCATAGATGGCAAGATTGTTGTGTTTTCTATTTTTTGTTATTGAACTATTTGTTTTATATATGTGCATATTTTCTTGTATCTTTAGATTAGTACAATTATTGTAAAATAAAGCCTTAATCATGAGGTCAATCTTTTTAGTAGTTCATTACATCCACTTACTTTTAAATCCCATAAAAACAATTTTTTAAAAATTCTAGAAAATAAAATACATACTCAGACAGTAGTTCACTATACTTTTGTTGAATTTGTTTCTCTGACTGCATAAGTCTTTCACTTTCTAGAACAGCCATTTCTTTAGATTCACGCAAACTTCTAAGTAAATAAAAAGCCATGGTAGTCTTCAAATTTTACTTTAATTTAACAGTATCAAATTAGGCTTTTAATGAAACTATTTATATATATATATATATATATATATATATATATATATATATATATATATATATATATATATATATATATATATATATTTTAAATTTAATTATGATACCTATTTTCTCGTTCATAAACTTCTTTAGACATTTCCTTTAACCTTTGAAGCTCAATATTTGTTTTGTTGGAAACTTCATCTAATTCTTTTTTCAGTTTTTCTTCATATTCATGTTTATAATGATCTCTAAAATAAAATCTATTGTTAGACATCATTAGCAACAACCTGTTGTTAGACATCATTAGCAACAATCTGTTGTTAGACATCATTAGCAACAATCTGTTGTTAGACATCATTAGCAACAATCTGTTGTTAGACATCATTAGCAACAATCTGTTGTTAGACATAATTAGCAAAAATCTGCTGTTTGAAACTATTAGCATCAATCATCTGCACTTAATGTTAATTCACTTTAACATCAACTGCAAAATTAAATAAAACTTCTTTTAATAGTATTATCAATTGAGTTAAAATGCTTATTTGTAAGGTATTACATAAGTGTGTGTTGTACATGCAACATTACTGATAACCTCATATTTAAATAGCTTGATATGATTTATACAATTAATTTTTGGTTTATTAATAATTTTTCTTTTTCTTTTTTGCCTTCAAAACTGTTTAAAGTAGGCTTTTTAAAAATTAAAATGTGTAAAATATACTAGTACACTACCAACTCACAAATATATATATATATATATATATATATATATATATATATATATATATATATATATATATATATATATATATATATATATATATATATATTATATAGTCTTGCATGGTAGTCAGAAAGTTTTTCCCATGAACTGTAGTTTTAAAGAGCGCGTAGACCAGACCAGAAGAAGTTTAAAAACTTAAATAAATATATTTTTTTCTTAAATGATAGATTGCCTGCCCAAACCAAACCTGTAGTCAATATAGTAGCACTTCCTTGCAAGTCAGGCTACTTGTCAGTTGATGTAGCAGCACTCCCTTGCTAGTCAGGCTATTTGTCAGTCAATGTCGCAACACTCCATTGCGATTCAGGGCTATAAGATATAATTGATATAGCAACACTCTGTTGCAAGTCAGGCTATAAGATAATCAATGTAGCAACACTCCCTTGTAGCAGAAGGCTATAAGATATTCAATGTAGCAACACTACGCAAATGTTTTAAAAATATATTTTAATAAAACAATAACAAAAACACCATTAATTAAAAAAACAATAAAATTTAATGAACTTCCGCCCTAATTTAATTGCTTTGACATTTTGACGACAATCAAATACAGCATAAGAGTCGAGGTAACAAAAATTGTAATCAAAAATTGTAATTGTAGGAATTATGTTAATATTTCCAGTAAGAGTGCTCAATACAGCATTTTATTTAATTAGTAGAGCAAATATAGTGAAAACTAAATAATTATTAAGATATATTTCAATTACATAACTAAAAGTTTCACGCAATAGCGATCATCAGATGTAACAACAATAAAAAAGTAACGACAAAAATTATATACAAAAAATGCTATGGAGTGTCCGCTTTGATGACATTAAAGTTTTTTATTAGAAATTTATTTTCATGGCGGCATTTTGACGCAAGCTCGGTTTGTTTGTTAAGCAAATTTAATGGCGACGTAATAATGTGGTATTTTTCTGTCAAGCATAAATTGCAAAATTTACCACCAGGTTTGAATACAGCATTCATTAGCTTAAAAGATCATAAGGATAATTCCCCCAACAATACACAGTGCCGATTAATAAATCCAACTAAACCAGAACTCGGAAAGATAAGTAGAATTTTATTAGATGATATCAATAGTAAAGTTAGGAATGCTACCCACGTACACCAATGGCACAGCACAAATGACGTCATAAAATGGTTCAAATCCATACCCGAAAAAAATAAATGTACTTTCATTCAATACGATATTGACGAGTTTTACCCTTTAATTTCGAAACAACTTCTTCAAGATTCTATAAACCATGCATAACAGTTCACTAAAATTCCTGATAAATCACTGAAAATTATTTACCACACCAGAAAATCTTTACTTTTTTCAGGAAATAATATGTGGATTAAAAAGTCGGCGGACCCTAATTTCGATGTCACCATGGGTAGTTTTGACGGAGCCGAATTATGCGAACTAGTTGGCCTCTATATCTTATACACTATTGCCAAAGAATATGGTTTTAATACTACCGGTCTATATAGAGATGATGATCTTATATCAAGCTGTGAACCAGATTTTTTACGCATTACTATTAAACCATCGTCGCGATAAAGGCCTAAATCATTCATATTGATTATTTTACTTAATAAATCTAAAATATATAATCCAACAAATTCACAAATTTCTGCTCCATCATAACTGCCCATTGTTACATCAAAGCAGTTATGTATGTTTTTCTTTTTCCAAGTTTCATTATTAAAATAAAGTAAGGTTTTTCTACAATGTTTTATTATGCAAATTGTTTCTTCAGGAACAACTGTGTGGCTTTTTGCAAATTCAATTGTTTTATCTAAAATATCTGCAGTTATTGAGGGGTAAAAATCATTAATATCAAACTGAATAAATGTACAGTCATTTTTATTATCGATTATGGAGAACCAATTTATAACATCAGTGGTATTTTTCCACTGTTGCAAATTTAATTTATTTCTAAGAATATTATTAATTTTGTCCAATTTAATTTTGCTTACATGTCCAATCTCACTTTTTGAGGGAACCAATAACCTACAAGGAAGTTTGTTTTGAAAATTTGGTTTATATATATATATATATATATATATATATATATATATATATATATATATATATATATATATATATATATATATATCTTTATATAGTAGTCAAAAGAAATTTTGATAGTAAAAAAAGTCTCTTTCAACACTTTTTTTTTAATATTTAGGTGACTACAACAATAAAGCAACTTTTTAATAAATAATACATAAAGCACATTAAGTTTTATTGCTTTTTTAAATTTAAACAATTAAATCTAATAGCTTCCTTAATTATTTAAATGGTATTTTACTGAAGTGTACTCAAAATATCAACTTAAATAACCAAATTAGTAAAGAGCCGTTTTTACTATGTAACATACTCAAGCTAAAAACCATAAATAGAATTATATATATGCGTGTATATATATATATATATATATATATATATAGATATATATATATATATATATATATATATATATATATATATATATATATATATATATATATATATATATATATATATATATATATATATATATATATATATATATATATATAGAGGCTTTCCCAGGAAAGGCGTGCGGTCGCACGCCTTGTTTGTCCACGCATAGAATAAATTTTTCAGAAAACATGACCGCGGCAATATTTTGTGGGAAAGCGGAACTTATCCACAGAGAATAAAATATAATATTAAAAAAAGGAAACGAAGTCTAAACAAAGTATAAAATTGAAATTGGATGTAAGAAAAATATTTTAATAATAAAAAAAAAATTAAAAAAAAAAAAAAATCTTGTAACAAAAAAAAAAAGTCCTGAACATTTTTTTCAAAATTTTTTTACTGTTTTTGTTTTCTTTTTTTAGGATTGCTATTTTCAGCTACAAAATTAGATACAAGTCAAGGAAAAGGCGACAATAAATCATAAAGTTTTCACGAAAATAAAAAGACTTACGTAATTTATTCACTAACTTTATCAGATAATATATTAAAAAACTGATTCATTATTTATGCTAGACAAATTTGATTAAATTTTTTCATTTAACTTAGTTTTTATGAAGGTTTATGCAAAGGCGATGATGTTATTCCCCAATACTTAGACAAGAAAATAAATTGCTGTTTTAATTATTAAATATATTATTTGAGATTTTAAAGATAACAAAATTTTAATGTGAAAAAAGTTCTCTCTCGACTTATTCTAAACTGATTATACTGAGTCAATGCTTGCCTTTTATTACGTCAAAATTATCCAATTGCATAATTTTGTAATTACGAAAGAAGTTAAAAAAATAATTGCATTGCTTCTGTTGTCATTGTTACGAAAACAGTTCCTTCGGGACATTATTATATATTAACACTTGTTCACAATGTCAATTAATGATTGCAAAATAAGCAACCCAATCAAATTTTCTTTCATTTGAAAATTGAAAAAAAAACATATTTTACAAATAAATAGCAATCGTTTTCGCGCTTTCTTGCGTATCAATACATTTAAACATTTAAAAGTATTTACGAAACATTTAAAAATTAATTAAAGTTCTATCGTGAATTTTAAAGTATTACCGACTGATAAAAGTCATAAACAAATTTTACATTAAAAGGTCCTTTTATTTTCATTAAACAATAATCTTTTCCTTTTTGATTTGATTTTTCTTATTGATTTGATTTTTTTTATTGATTTGATTTTTCATAGCTAAAATAACTACCGCCCTAAAAAACAAAAAAAAATAAATAAATAAAATATAGGTAAACTTTTTTTTTAATAATATACATTAATTTTTAAATTTGAAAGCACAAACAGATTTCTTTTATTTCCTTTAAGATTGCTTGAATTTTTGCGGTATTTTCGTTTAGCTTTGTTTTGGCGCGAATTCTTGAAATGCATAATAATAAAACAGTTAGTCATAAAAATTTATTCTATGCGTGGACAAACAAGGCGTGCGACCGCACGCCTTTCCTGGGAAAGCCTGATATATATATATATATAATTTATATGTATATATGTATATATGTATGTATGTATATATGTATGTATGCATTTATGTATGTATGTATGCATGTATGCATGTACGCATGTATGCTTACCTTGAAGAAAGAAACTTCTCATAAAGCTCTTCTCTAGATGCTTTAACATTGTCTAATTGAGTTTCAATGATATGGTGTCGTTCCTCTAAAAATTTATACCTTGGAGATAATTCATTCAATTGTTTACTCAAGTAATCTTTATCTTGTTTCAACAATGCAATAGTTTGCATAAATTCTGCTATCTGAAAACAAAAAAGTTATATATGCATTATATACTACAAATACATCTTGGTTCAAATACCTAGAGTATATATCAGGGTGTAAACTAGCCCTGTGGCGCTATGTCAAACGCGGTTTTCCCAAAATGCTTATAAAATACCTAGAGTATATATACACAACTATAAATGCTTAGATAAGCACTATGATGTCAAACTGAAATAGCCTGATGCAGAAGCTTCAAAAAATACATAGACTATCTTATAGCTTGCCACAAAAAAGTGCCACTACATTGTCTGAGAGTTCAGGATGGGGCAGCAATCTTTTCTTTTATTATTCTTTATTTATTTATTTTTGAAAAAGCTGTATGCTATAAAGATAAGCAAAATAGTAAGCATTTGCTGATCTAAGCTGAATTTACTCTAGATATTTTTTTTATTACATTGTTTTTCTTTATAGTTTAATCTGAAATCTGATACATTAATTTTGTCTGCAAGAATGCTAAAACCAGTGTTAGACCAGGTTCTAACATGTTAATATTATTTTCTGAAGAAAAATATTTGAAAGACATAACCACATGGAATGATAAATTTTTGTTCTTCATAAGCAAAAAGGGTTGCTAAAGAGATGGATCTAGTTTTGGGTTTATTTTCTACCAAATTAATTTACTGGGTATATATATTCCCTTATATTCCTGGGTATTAACATTTGTATATTGGGTATTAATATTTATATATTGATTTATATATTGAGTATTGATTTTCAGTCAATGAAAATATGAAGTTCTACAGAAAGCATCATGTTGCACAGCAAAAAAAAAACAACTTTTGATGAAACTGGATTTTGCCTGAAAAAAACTTTTTCAAAAACATGGCCAGCTAAACTCTGTGAAGGCTGAAAGTTGTATTTTGGAAAGAAAGTGATGAATACATATTAATGTCTTTTTCCATGAAAAAAATCACATGAGAAATAAAGTCAATTGAACAGCTGTGTATAGATGTGAACAAAGCCTTGTTGGTGTACTCTGTTGCACAGATGTTGCTTCTGGCCAAGTCAAAAATGATTTTTCTGGTTTAAAGAATTTTAATGCCAAGTCATCTTATCATAGTAACTTCTACAAAAAACTCTTTACAAAAATTGAAAGCGATTACAATTCTTACTTAAATTATTACAATGAGCCATCATGTTAAAAGGATCAATGTGAACCATCATGTTAAAATGTGACAGTCAGCACAAAAGAGCCATCATGTTAAAATGTGACAGTCAGCACAAGAGAGACATCATGTTAAAATGTGACAGTCAGTACAAGAAAGACATCATGTTAAAATGTGACAGTCAGCACAAGAGAGCCATTATGTTAAAATGTGACAGTCAGCACAAGAGAGCCATTATGTTAAAATGTGACAGTCAGCACAATTTATTACAATAAGCCATCATGTTAAAATGAGACAGTCAGCACAAGAGAGCCATCATGTTAAAATGTGACAGAGAATCAGCACAAGTAAGATCTGTCATCAAGAGTTTTGTTGTTATTATTTAGAGTGCAGAGGTTCTTTATTAAGTACTTTATATTGACAATGAAACTCAAAATGCTGATGCTACAATAGTTACAATAGACTTCATGAATACAATAGACTTAATGAAACAAATGTGAGATTTCATTCTTTATCTTGTAACATTAGGCCCTACAGTTAAACTTAAAAAAAGAAACACTGTGCTACCAATTTCCAAAATATAACGTGTTGATAGAATTGTTAACTGCCCAGAAAAAAGTAAACAAGTTCCTCAGCAGCTAAAGACAAAAAATGAAGTGAATATGTAACAAGTCAAAAAATGAAGTGAATATGTAACAAGTCAAAAAATGAAGTGAATATGTAACAAGTCAAAAAATGAAGTGAATATGTAACAAGTCAAAAAATGAAGTGAATATGTAACAAGTCAAAAAATGAAGTGAATATGTAACAAGTCAAAAAATGAAGTGAATATGTAACAAGTCAACAAGTTTGATTTTCTAAAGAAATAAAGTAACTTATACAAAAATATATAAAGTGTATACATTATATAAAATTATGATTTTATTTTCTTAAAACTTAATTTAACTTCCTAAATGGAGTAAACAAAAAAGAGCTGAAAAGTTTACAACTATATTAATTTATTTCTAATTCTAAACAAATTTTCTCGAGATTTTAAATTATTGGTTTATTAAAATATTTCAAGTAATGCTTGGAAGACACCCATAGTTAGTAGTTACTTTATCTTAAGTGAATGATGATGTTGTTGTTACTTGTATAGAATATGCTGCTGCACCTGGAAAGTAGTGTTTTAAGTAGCCAATAATCTTTTCTTGTCCATCTATTGTTCTGAGAATTGATTCATAGACCCTAACTAATCAAGCAGAGTGTTATTCTCTCTCAAAAGACAACTGCGACAATGTGTAAAACAAAAGTAGGACATTTATCTTTAAAATTTTTTTGTTTTCTTAAAACTCTTGAAAAACTGTTTTTTGCTAATTTTTTTTTCAAATGTTTATCTGAATTTTGCATCATTTTTTAACTGTATGAAGTTTTAAGATTCAATAATAAAACTTAAAAAATTATTATTATCAAATAACATTCTATTATAAAAATGTCTGAAATCAAAAAAATTTCAGATAAAGCAGTAGACTTGCTGTCGCTAAATATAACTACATTGATCAGGTATTATATTAGTTCAAAATATGAACTCTTTTTCATTGGTTTTAATCAAAGTATCATTCTTCCCATTCATTTTTTTCTTTTTGTAGGATGATCAAAATAATCTTCTTTACAAAAACAACTCTCCCAAATAACAAATATTGTTTATCATTGCAAGAATTCGGTGCAAAAAGACATTATTTGACACTAAGGTCCATTATTCCCAGATTACTAAATTGTATAATTTATATCAGAAGTTAGGTTGTAGAGGCTTTTTGAAAATCTTTAGTAGTGTCATTAACAAAAGCAAGTCTAAGTTGCTAAAATTACTTCTCTCTTAAACTTATCTACTCCGACATTCCTGTCACAGTCTTACAAAAGTGTTTTCCAACATTCCTGTTGGAAAACACTTTTGTAAAACTCTCTTCATTTGTGTTTAGCAGAAAAGGAATCTAAACTAAACTGAATCCACAAAAAGAAATTAAATACCATTGGGCTTCTAAAGGATCTTGGGATTAATACCCAAGAAATTTAAAAAATTTAAAAAATGTTGCCACAAAATATGTAACCCTCTCCCTAACAAAGTATAGGACAAGTTCTAAAAATAATAACAATATTTTTAGTAAATAACATTGTTTATAAATTGAAATGTTTTCTACAAAAATAAGTAATGAAAACTTTGCTTAAAATCTTAGAAATCATGGAAATCATATAAAAGTTTTGTTAAAAAATATATCTATAAATATTGTTTGAAAGTTTTTAGATTGGATGACTAAAATTTAGCTAAAATCAATTTAGATGAAAAATATATAATAAACATACGAGGTTTTTATTCATGTATCTTTAATCATTATTGAAAAAAAGCAAAAAATATCTACTTTTAAAAAATATATCACATTAAATATAAACTTTTTAATTGCACAAGGTAAGTAAAAAACTGTTTTTCAAAAAAGTCACTTTTTTCTAGGTTTATAAAACTCTTCAGTTGTGAAATCTAGGTGCAAGGTATTTTGCATATACATTACAAAACACATTAAAGAATGTGTAATGTATATAAAGCATTTGCAAATGCATGTGCCATGCGTTTCAATTTTTAGTTGCAACATTTAAAAAAAAATTAGGTTTTCTAATTAAACAGATGAAAGTATCAAATTCAAAAATTATAAATACCTGTTGCTTCAGTAATTCCATCTGAGTTGACTTTTCGTCTAACTCATTTTTGTAAACTGTATTTTGCTTTTCAAGTTCTGTTATTTTTCTTTCTAATGCATCACGTTCACTAAAATTAATGAAAAAGTAAAAATAGTAAATAGTCCAAATTTAATGTTTTCATATTTGCATTAATTGCAAACTGAACTTTCTTATATTAGATTAGGAAGAATGCTTGTTTTAAAGCTATTTAAATTAAAAATTAATATATATTTTCATACTAACTTTCCTCCATTCAAGAAGGCTGTTAAAGATGTTAGGTTATTATTGAATCAAGCATATTATTAAAAAACTATATATCATTATAAACATATATACTATAAAAAAAATTATGTAATCATCAGGCTTCTCATTTTGAAATTTAATGCCAGCACATGAAAAAGCGCTGACAGGATGATCATTTTTAAGTTAGCCTACGTAATTTGATAAATACTTTTCCTGCTATTTTAGTTAAAATAAAAACAGCAAAAAAAAATCCTTTGAATAAATACTAGATAAAATATTAAAAAAAAAAAAAAAAAACTGGTAAAAAAGCCATTTTTCATAAAAGTTGAAGAAATTAACAAAAAAGTTTAGTTGCCATTTCAAACAAAACGCTATTATTTTTTTGGCAAGCGCATTTTTATGCGCTCACCAATGTTTTTGCAGGCATGTGGGCAAGTGCAAAAAAGCTTAAGCGTGAAAGCGCTGGCTAAACGGAGACGACTGAATAATTTACCTTATAACATTGTCAAAGTTATCGTTTCTATAATATTTGTGAGACAATTGAGTTCTCAAATCTTCTAATTGTACTTGTAATTTCTGATATCGCAATTCACTTTCAACTCTTGCATGTCGTTCACTCTCATGTTCCTATATGATTTAAATAGCATTCAGGATTGATTTGTGAAATTCTTGATTCAATTCAAGTCACTAGAAATTTTGTATATAAAATTTCAAAACGCACTTTAGAATACTTATTTAACTGATATAATATTTTTAATGATTATATATATACACATACAACCCTCGGAATTAGGGCCAGCATTCGGCAATGCCAACCTAACTGCTGACCTGAAAGTGTTTGAGGTTGACAAAAAATTGCTGACCTCATTTCTATGTTTTTTGGTCAGTCCTTTGTATCAAATATATTCTGCTGACCTCAAAAAGATCGAGGTTGGCAAAATATTGCCAACTTCATTTTTCCTAATTCCAAGGGTTTTATATATATATATATATGTAAACAACTCTTTATTATAGAAAGTAAATAAACATAATTATAAACAACTCTTTATTAAAAAAAGTAAATAAACATATTTTAAAAATTGTGAACTTTCTTGATGTCACATTTAACCTCTTGGAAAATACATATAAGCCTTTCAAAAAACCAAACAATGAATTATTGTATATTAATATTAACTCAAATCATCCACCCCAAATTCTAAAACAAATCCCGATTTCAATTAATAACAGGCTTAACCAAAACTCCTCTAATGAAAATGTATTCAATTCCTCCAAACAGATATTTGAAGATGCCCTTAAAAAAAGTGGTTTTGAAAACTTTGAATTAAAATTTGACCCTGAAAAAAAGAATACAAAAAAGCGAAATAGAACTAGAAATGTAATTTGGTTCAACCCCCCATATAGCAAAAATGTTTCTACAAATATAGAAAAAGTGTTTTTAAAATTGATCGATAAGCATTTCCCGCCCTCTAATAAATTACATAAAATTTTTAATCGAAATACTATTAAAGTTAGCTACAGTTGCACAAAAAATATGGAAAGAATTATAAAAGGTCACAACAATGCTTTGTTAAACAAAAAAGAAATCCAAAATGAAAAAACTACAGAAAATTGTAATTGTAAACAAAAAAACAATTGTCCAATGAGTGGAAGTTGCTTATCAAAAAATGTGGTATATAAATGTGTTGTCTCCTCTAAGAATGTACCTGATAAACAATTTATTGGCATAACAGAAGGTGAATCGAAAAAACGTTTTGCCAATCATAAGCAATCTTTTAAAAATAAAAAGTATTCAAAAGACACCATGCTGACAAAATATATATGGGAACTAAAAGATAAAAATATTGATGATTTTACACTGAATTGGTCCATCCTTAAAACACTGCCTGCATATAACAATATTTCCAAAAAATGCATACTATGTCTACAAGAAAAATTAGAAATAATTACACATACAAACCAAGAATGTTTATTAAACAAAAAATCAGAATTGATTTCTAAATGCAGGCACGAAAATAAGTTTCTCCTAAAAAACTATAAAAATAAGTGAGCTCAAATAATAGTTACATTAACTCCCCTTTGAAAAATATATGTTATTTTTTTAAAAAAGCTTAAGTAATCATTTTTAAAGAATTCTTTTTACAATAGTGTCAGCAAATTACACAAATGTGTGAAAAATTGCAGTAGTTAAGACATTAGTTAAGACAGTAGTTAAGACTTCCTGTAATTTAATTTTTGGTATAAATTGAAGTTTTATTAATTTGATCATTCATTTCTGATGAGTCTTTATTGATGAAACACAGTGTTAAATGAGAAAAATTTTGCTAAATGATTTTCTACTAATTTGTAATTGCTCTGTTCTTTTAAAAACATTGAGCACTCTTTTTGTAGAATACATTTTAAATTGTTTATATATATATATATATATATATATATATATATATATATATATATATATATATATATATATATATATATATATATATATATATATATATATATATACATATATATAAATATATATATATATATATATATATATATATATATATATTTAAACAATTTAAAATGTATTCTACAAAAAGAGTGCTCAATGTTCTTAAAAGAACAGAGCAATTACAAATTAGTAGAAAATCACTTAGCAAAATTTTTCTCATTTAACACTGTGTTTCATCAATAAAGACTCATCAGAAATGAATGTTTTTTTCATTTCTGATGAGTCTTTATTGATGAAACCATAGTCATAAGAATACATAGTCTGGAAACACGGACCATTTCCATTGTTTTCCGATTTTAACTTGAAAACTACACGACGACCCGGCGAACCTGCACAAGTTTATAATAATGGCAAGTTTTAGCAGCGATTTTGAGACAAATAGTGATTTGGAATGTTTGTTTGACGTGTTTGAAGGAGGATTTTTGAATGATGACATTAACTTAGTAACAGATATAGATTCCGTTGTTTCTGATATCGATATTTATAGAGATAATGTCAAACAACATGCATGCACTCAGTGTCCTAAACTATACAAAACAACTAGAGGTTTAAAAAGACACATTGCATCGAAGCATATTTTAGAATGTTTTGAAAAATGTTCTGTAAAAATGTCTGATACGGAGAATTCTTCTAATAAATTGTCACCGCTAAAGTTGAAAAGCATAGTTGAAGAATGTGCAAATTTATTGGAAATAGACATGTGCCTGCCATTTGATGTTAGAAAAAAATTCTCATGCGAGCAATTTAGTTTTTTAATAGATGATGCTGAACATCTTTGGCAAAAATTAAAACCGATTATTGAAAAATTTAAAGGCAATAGTAATTTATTTTATCAAGAGTATTAAGGACTGCTAGGAAATCTACTAGCTTCACACTTCAGTGATATAACTTTGAGCAACACACTACTCACTGAAATGTCTGCCATTATATTAAATAATCTTTCTAATATAAACCCAAATATAATTGAATCTGTTGGTACAACTCAAGAAATAACTGATATAGAGAAAAAGAGTTTACAATATCTTATTGGATATATATTTGAAATTGAAATTGAACATAAAAGGCTATTTTCATAGCCACATATCTTTTTTAAACATTAATGGCACATAAACTACTTAAATTCTGTTTAAAAATTTACTTAATAGTTACTTTATATAATAAGATAATCCTTCAATGTTTGCAATGATCCAGATATGATAAACTTAGAGTTAGGGTCAATTATTTCTAACTTTTATTATACTTACACCAGTATTTATATATATATATATATATATATATATATATATATATATATATATATATATATATATACATACATATACATGTATATATATATATATATATATATATATATATATATATATATATATATATATATATACATACATATATATATATATACATATATATATATATATATATATATATATATATATATATATATATATATATATATATATATATATATATATATATATATATATATATACATACATATATATATATATATATGTATGTATATATATATATATATATATATATATATATATATATATACATATACATGCATATATATATATATATATATATATATATATATATATATATATATATATATATATATATACATATATATATATATATATATATATATATATATATATATATATATATATATATATATATATATATATATATATATATATATATATCTTTGTGATAACTCCTGGGAGGACATTTTGTAATAACACCAGGGAGGGCATAAGTAAAAAATTGCTTCAATTCTTTCTTAGTGGCATATTTATGTCACTATGGAGAACCATCCAAACCACGCAAGTGTGAAAACATGGATGTAAACATGCCAAAATATATACATAGCGAGAAACAATTACTAACAGTTAATAACTGTATATACTTTAGCACGTTAGGATAACCTAACCTGACAGATATATATGCAGTTATTAAATTTATTAATTAAGTGTACCTGTTACCCAGCAATTTATTATTTTGTTATTGAAAATTATTTATTGTATTATTGTTTATTAAATACTGAATTTTAATATTTTATCAAATACTGTTATTGGATTGTAACATGAATGAACTTTTTTTTTAACTAAACTACAACAGCTTAACGTTCACTATTGTGGTTACATTAACATATGTGGTTACATATTGATATAACTATGTGGTTACATATTGATATAACATTCACTTATAATTATAAATAACCAAATATAAAATATCAACCCACCTGGAAAATAATTTAGATTTTTCTTTGCTCATTTAAAAAAAATGTTATTCCCTATCAATGTCATGTGTTGTTCAATCATCATGTGGATCAATCAATATAATTTTTTCCTTTTCCTTGATTAGTTTATTATTTCAATTAAATATATTAAAATTGGTTATTTCATTTTCATGTTTATTTCAAACATCCAGTGGCGGATTAAGGGAGGGGGCTACTTTTTGTATTATTTTTTCATTATTCATTATTCACCTCCCCAATGCCCGAGGGGCCACTACAGTCAAGGAGGCTACTCTTTTTTTTTTTTTTAAATTGTGGTACAACCCTCTCAACTCTTTAACTCCAAAACACAAACCTTACAAGCAAGATGGTAGTCGAGCTCCGAACCTCTCACATACAAAGCGAGCGCTCTTACCACTACAACACTGCCGCATATTGACCCAAGCCCCACAATTTAGGGTATATAAAATATTATGAAGGACTTTTTACTTTTACTTTTTACTATTTTTAGCCTCTGACACATAAAAAAAAAAATCCAAAAAAATTAATAGCCCCAGACCCCAAGAAGTATTAATCTGCCAGTGCCAACACCTTTTGTAAAGGGGCGTTAGAATAGTATACAACCCTCATTTTATTATTTTTAAAAATCCCCTAGTTTATTGAAATCAGAGTACCCTTTTTTTTGGTGAACCCAAATACAGCAGTGTGAATATTTTTTTAAGGGGACAGGGGGAACCCTATTTGGTCAACTAAAATAAAAGGTCATCGGTTTCTTTGATATCTATGAGCTTAAAAATTCGTAGGTGAGACAAAGTTCAGGTTCGGTTTCCCTGGATTTTAAAATTTATTAACGTGCCCCAAGCAGACCTAATAGCTTCTTAGAGCACT